TACCTGGGAAGATATTGATGTCGATGACAGTGTGTGTGTGTGTGTGTGTGTGTGTGTGTGTGTGTGTGTGTGTGTGTGTGTGTGTGTGTGTGTGTGTGTGTGTGTGTGTGTGTAGCTACCTGGGAAGATGTTGATGTCGATGACGGTGAGGGTGTGTGTGTGTATGTTGATGATGATGTCCACGCCGAACAGAGCCATGCCGAGCTGAAGTCGCAGCTCTTTGACCAGAGCGGCCACGGCCTCAGAGCTGGGGGGGGGCAGCAGGGGCGTCTGCTCGTCCAGCTGAGAGGTGAGGTACGTTTGTTTATACAGCACATCAACATTAACACTTAATAAGAAGACAACAGAAAGGAACACAATAAATAAACATAATGGAATAACAGATTCATAAAACCCATGCATAAAAGAGATACAGAATAGTTTCAAAACAACATTGTAAATACGGTAGGTGCTAAAACAAGTTAAAAGACTTCTGGGTAAGCAGCTGTAAAAAGCTTAAACATCAGGAAGACAAGAAGGAGGACAAGTCTATCATTTATTTACAGAGAGTTATGTGGAAATGGGACGGAATCTACATGTTCACTTCACATTCAATGAGGGCAGTTTTGCAGTATCCCTTAGGTTGGGATAAGAAGTGAGAAATAAGAGGAGAAGTCGATATAGGCTTTGTTAAAAACAGCGTTATGACTTACTGCTGTGAGAGCAGAGTTGGACTCGGGCTTGGACACATGATGGCTGTTGAAGAAGATCGTGTTCCTGTCTGGAGGCAGAGAGAAGACGTACGTGAGGAGAGGACACTTGGTACCGTAGGTCAAAGCGAAACAGAGACAGTACAATAATTATATGTGGTATTTATATAGCGCTTATAGTGCTCCAAGACACTTTACAAGCAAATACAGAACATTTAGTATTTATTTAGCCACAGAACCTGCTCCATACTTTTTCCATTTTACAACAAAACATTTTAAAAGCCTGCAGGTGGCACTAGATTAAAAGAAAGTAAATCACCAAAGTCATAGGGAAGGAAAGGAAAGGAATTAAGTAAATGAAAGGGAAAAAAATAAGGTATATAGGAAAGGAAAGGAAAGCAAATTAAAAGACAGAAAAGGAAAGGAAAGTATAGTAAAGGAAGGAAAAGGAGATGAGAGGGAAAGGAAGGAAATTAATGGAAAGGAAAGGAAAGGGAAGGGAAGTAAAGAAAATGAAAGGAAATGAAAGGAGAGGAAAGGAAATGAAAGAAAAGGGAGGGAAAGAAAATGATAAGGAAAAAAAGGAAATGAAAGGAGAGGAGAGGAAAGAAAAGGATAGGAAAGGAAAGGAAAGGAAAGGAGAGGAGAGGAAAGCAAATTAAAAGACAGGAAAGGAAAGTATGGTAAAAGAAGGAAAAGGAGATGAGAGGGAAAGGAATGAAGTGAAAGGAAAGGGAAGGAAAGAAAATGATAGGAAAGGAAAGGAAAGGAGAGGAGAGGAGAGGAAAGGAGGGGAAATTAAAGGAAAGGAAAGGGAAGGAACGAAAAGAAAAGCATAGGAAAGGAAAGGAAATGAAATGAATGGAGGTCTTTTTTTAGTTCCTGCAGACTGACCACAGGGGCCAGGAGGGAAGTTCTTGAGGGAGGGTCTCTCTACGCAGAAGTGTTTCTCTCCCACCACGAAGACTTTGTGCAGAACAGCTCCGTGATTAACGAAGCTCTGCAGAACACAGGGAGCTCGAACATCTGCCAGACCCTCCCCACTAAAGATCAGACACATCTGCAAAGCACACACATCACGCACTTAGTGAACAGAGAGGAGACCAAAGGAAGAGACACATTCATAATGCTGACCTTACTCACCTCGTGGGAGAGGGAGCCGTGAGCCACTCTGGTTTTACAAACTGGGGTCAACAGAGACAAAGAGGAAGTGTTTGTGCATTCTGTCAAACATCATGAGGAAGCAAACAGGAAGGAAGGACACTTGCATGTTGCATTATCTTATTAACTATGTGCAAATTCACAACAGAAATCTAATCATTGGATGAAAGCAGGTTCAAATTTCATTTTGTTAAAACATTGGCGACAAGAGGAAATCAATATATAGTTTTTTCGACACTGAAAACGATATTTCTCCATGTTTTTAGTAGTTTTTAGCAATTAAAGTCTCTATGAATCAGGCTATGAATGATAAATGAACAAACTGCTCAGTGAAAACCTTTGCAATAAAGAAAGTAATGAAACTGGAGAGTGAGTTGTATGTGAGTGCTACTTAAGTGGAGATTTCAGGCTCCGAGTATAAGAAGAAAAATGTGTTTAAATGTTTACAAAGTGTAGTACTTACACAATAATTTTTGGTATTTACAGTTTTCGTTTAGATATGCAAACAAGGAATCATTCAGTGGTGACTTTTGGTGGATTCAGGAGAAGTGTACGGATGCAAATAGACCAGTAAATAAACACCTTATTGTTCTTGCATGTAGAGCAGGGGGGTCAAACTCAAGACTTCATTTTATCCGGCCCGCAAGAGCTTGCAAAGAATATAATACGTTTATTATACGGTTAGATGCCGCTTTACAGAAGCACGTTGCCCATAAACTACATGTCCCACAATGCATCTAATTTTGTGACATGAGCACTGAAGAGACTTGCAATTATTTGCTTCCAGGCGTAATTAATTATGAAGTTATTACCCTATCCGATAATAATCCAATGCAGAGGAAATAACGTAATATAGTACATTATTGTATATATATTATATATTTATATATGTATAATTATATAGTCTTAAAGTTACAACCGGCCGTTTGAGTGCAACCATAATGCTGATGTGGCCCGCGATGAAATTGAGTTTGACACCCCTGATGTCTCAAAATGTAGTGTGTTTGCTAATGAACAGAAAGGAAGGATACAGAGAGAGAGAGAGAGAGAGAGAGAGAGAGAGAGAGAGAGATCACTGTATATATATATCATCAATAATATGTAAACATTTGAAATGTATGTTAATGTTGTTAATTATTTTGTATTGTGATGCTTTGGCAACATTGTTTAATTTAACTTTCATGCCAATAAATTCCCCTTTGAATTGAATTGAATTGAATTGAATTGAGAGAGAGAGAGAGAGAGAGAGAGAGAGAGAGAGAGAGCGAGCACTGACTGAGAGGAAAGCTGAGTGTGGTCACAGCTTGTTGAACGGACGACAGATCATCAGCACTCTGGATCTCCAGGTAGGAAGGACTGCAGACACGCCAGTCTGTCGGAGAGAAGATATACAGTAGAACATACAATAATTATAATAATGGATTAAGCAGTGTAATCAACGGGTCTGTGGATGTAAAACGTATCATACCAAAGCATCACTTCAAATCCTGTCTTTTGATTGGATTAGAAGCATTTATTTTCATTATACACGTGAAATGAAAAATAATCTTGCACTAATGTACATTCCCAAAGATATTGACTGTTATTTTATATTGATTGTTGTGCTTTCATCTTAATGTGTGCATATTTATAAATGTGTGATTTGGTGTATACATATTTTACACATATTTGTATATATATTTGCATTTTTGTATTTGGGATTGTGGGAAAGGGTATTTTGATCTCTCTGTCTGTGCACACAAACTGAAAGGCTGACAATAAAGTTGACTTAGACTTTGAGGACAGCAAAGACACGCAGCATTCATACATACAAACATACATAACAAGAATAACGAAATGAAGTGCAGGAATGACTTCATGGTAGAGTAAATATGTTTGTGTGTATGATCAATGGTATATATTATTGCGCAGGGGAGGAAGACTAAGCGGTTTTAGTGCAAGAGTTCAGCCATGATTGCTCTGGGGAAGAAACTGTCTTTGAGTCTGTTTGTCTTTGCTTTTCATTTTACTTTTTCAAACAGGTGAAAACCGGGGGTGTGAACTTTCCTTTACAATGAGATGAGAGAAGAGAAGACTCCTGGAAATAAGAGATTCACTAAGTAAAAGTGTTTAAATGTAATAATATACCCGAACAGGGGCGGACACTAAAAATCAGCCCGGGCATCTCGACCGGCCCACTTCGGTACCGCTAGTAAATTGTCAACGGGGGGGGGGCTAGTGACTTATCCGACTGGCCCACATCGTCCGACCGACCCACTTCGGTACAGGTTTTGTGTCAAATTATGCACCCCGTCGTGAAATGCACGCCTTGACACGGGAACGCGCATTTGAACGTATAGTCCGCTATTCTATGTTGTCTTTTTGATGGTTGGGTTGTCGAATCCTGGATTTTGCATTCAGTCGTCACTTATTTTATTTTTCAGTTTTTTAATTTAATATATGTTTTTATTTAATTGTGAGGTCCTGTCTGTATACTTGTGCTTGTACTTGTGCTTTACAATGTATTGTTTATTTTTACAGCAAGTGCTTGAGGGTGGGATTAATAGAAACATTTTTATTTTGGGGGTGCTTTTTATGAACAGCCTGGTTGCCACGATATGCACCCCTTGCTATCTCTGACAATAAACGTGTCACATACATGAAACTTGCTCCATTTATTGGAACTAGTCCTACAACTATACCCTCCAAAGTGCTTGAGGGTGGGATTAATAGAGGCATCTTTTTTGGGGGGGGGTGCTTTTCACGGCAGGCCAGGGGGTGCATTTCACGATGGGGGTGCATAATTTGACACAACACCTGGCCATCGGGATTCGTCCCGAACGTCCCGATGGCCAGTCCGCCACTGTATCCGAACCAAAACAACCAATTAGTCAACTAAAAGGGGGGCAGCACTAAAAGCAGTACAATATACAATACACATAGACAATCCTCTCTTTGAGACATTGGACAAAATGCATAATTTGTACTTATTTCTAGTGTAATAAACATTGATTTGCACCTCCTGTGTACACTTTAGGATTGTAGCACTTTGCCTTAACCAACCTCACTTATTGAAATGGTTGGATTTGTTATTGTTGTGTGTTTTCTGTTGTTGTTTAGTGTAATTGAAATGAACAAAGTTGCAGTTCACCTCGGAGTGAATTGTGCAGCTTGCTCATGATCCGATACGATGCGAAGCGGTCGAGCAGCCGGGTCATGGCGGGCAGCGGGTCCAGAAGAACCGTGCTGGGGTTAACTGACACAAAACTCTGAAATGAGAGAGACAGACATCATCGAACATACAGTATCAATAATAACGGCTTATTAAGAAGAAAACAACTTCATTCATAATCAATATTCCTCTTTAATCAGGATCAGAAATAGTTACTTAATTTTGGAATAAAATAAAGTAAAATAAAAATGTATGAATAAAATAGAATAAATACATATAATACAAATATTTTAGAAAACATGGAAAAGTCACGATAAAAAAAATGCAAATATGTAAAATGTGTAAATTACAATTATACATTATATTTTATTAATACTATTAATGCTGTGAGGTAAAGTCATTTTAAATTGATATGAGTATTGCACAGTTGTATAATTAATGTAAAAGTTGGATAATTGCTATTACCTGGAAGTTGGCGAGGAGCTCCTGTGATTGGCTGTCGTGCTCAGCCTCCACAATGACGTCAGACAGCTTGTGGACGATGACGTCAAAGGGTCCCTGAGGTCCCATTGGCTGAGTGAGGTCGATCTGACAGGATATATTAGCCATTTAACATGTTGAGGTTTTTAATTGTATGTTTTTCATTACATAACGTTACAGTGTTTGGCCATCAGGGGGCAGTATGATCCAGTCTGTGAGGAACTGGTCAGGTGTTTTAGGGTCATAGGCATGGTCACAGGTGAACAGGAAATATTGTTGAGCTGAAGTGGCGGGACTATACTGTTTTTAAAACAAAGAATGGGATTATAATCATAAAACTCTGTTAAACATTAATAAACAATGGGTAACTAGGGAGAGCTTGTCCAGCCTGGCCAGCTTGTCCAGCCTGGTAAACCAACTAAACCAGCCTAACACCAGCTAAAACCAGCTAAAACCAGCAACCATCTTAAACTGGTCTATGCTGGTTTTTTCAGCAGGGGTAACACTCAGTTTTGTTAACACACCTGCTCACTGAATGTTAGTTTAACTCTTAAATGTCATATATAATATACAGAGCTTCACGGAGTACTGTGTGCACATTGTGTAAAAGGATTTAAGCAGGTGGATGATATCAGGTTAACTGCTGATCAAACAGCTTTTGTCAGCTAGAAAAAAAGGGCGGGCAGTCAGGACTTTGATATTCAGGTTTTGCAGAGAAACATGAGACAACTTAAAGCACAAAGAGAACAAAATTGCAGGCACCGTGGTGATCAAAAACACAATGATTAACCCAATATGACCTGTGTTTGTACAGTAGCAGTTAGGAGCCGGTTTCATCCCTTAGGAGCAAAACTTGCAGCCTTTGGTTCCCCAACCTGCAATAAATCAGATTAACATGAACAATTCATCCGGAAAGACAGTTTGGGCTCTAAAACTCTTGATCTTCTCGCAAAGCAGGAAATCCCTCTGCTAAAACAAAGAAAATGGATTCTCTTCTTGATCCATTGAAACCGGCCCACTATTTGTGTCAGAATTCTGACATTGAACATTTAATGGTTTGTTAAAAAAAAGTTCCTTCAATATCATTGTTGGTTTTTTTGGGCTATATTTGTGTTATGTTCATGCATATCTATTATCAGTTGTGTTTGTCTGCAAACGTTTTTTTTATTGGGTTTTCTTTGTAGGCTTTTTTGAGTAATGTAATGTTTTTCTTTTTCTACATTTTATCCTAATTTTATGTAAAAAATATTTATGTTAGGTCCACAATTGTTCTGTTTTTCATCACTAAATAAATAAAAGGAGATACAATAGTATTTCTAGTAATTAATTTTTGTAGCAGAATGTTACTTATAGCAGAATGTTACTTATAAAAGTTATTGCCTAACATTTTTCCCATTTAAATAAAGCACCTCAATTGTGCAAAAGGCATTTAGTTTTCTAACTTTTGCACTTTCATGTACACAATTCTGTAATTGTTTTTGTATTTTATGATGATTTAAGTACCTTATGTTAAAGTTTGCTTATTATGGACAATAAGGTTAAAGTTGAAATATTAGATACTCTCATTATTCAGAGAGGTGAAAGCAGAGTTTTGTACAAGACAAAAGTGTAAAGTAGGTCAGTATTACATGATCAGCAGATACCTGAACCACACCATGCTGTATGTTTTAATATTCAAATGGTTCCTGTCACTCAGCTCCCTTCACTTTCCTGTTGCTGAGAATCCAGAGTGAGTCATGTTCCATTTTCTCCTAAAGATGCTTTGCATACCGCAGCTGGTTTACATGGGTTTGTTTGTTCATCCTACATCAAGCACTCTGACCTTTTACGACATCATTTCCCTGGAAAACCACGATAACTTAGAACCCACAGAACATTCCCAGAAAGAGCTCCATTCCCCCTTCTGAACCTGTGATGTGCATTTTAAAACGAGCGGTATGTATTTGACGTCGATGGATTTACCCAGGAGGCCTTTACATCCTGTCACAGGATTGAAATGATGACAGATCACAAACAAAAGGCGCTTTCTGCAGCTTTGTTAGCTGCAAGAATGTGAAACTCCTCCGTCACCCCGACCCTGGATCAGTAATGTGACTACACATGCACGCCGCATGAGACCAGCCGTGTGGTTTCACGTGTGCTCAGGAGACACACTGAGAGAGAGAGTGTGTTTACGTGCGAAGGAACAGAGGGGGTCATTGATCCAGGCCGGTGTCACATTGGGCCGCTGAGCAGTTTTCCCCTTGTTAATAATGAAGGAGTTCTTTACTTGTGGTCCGAAGGGATTGTTGTCACACTGTCAGTTTCTATTTACACACAGCCTAAGTCTTATTGATGAGGATAAGATAAGATAATCCTTTGTTGCTCCCACAGCAGGGACACTTGCAGCTCAGGGGACAGTGCAAAAACATACACACTGTTTTATTAACATTATTACACAGAGGAAATATAATGTTAGACAGAAACTTGTTCAAGCCGTTAAAGCCCCTGTCACACTGTCCTGAACTCGACACCCGATGGACACACGATTAAGGAAATGTTCAAATTCGGCTCTGATCGTAACAACATCGGGCCATTCGTGAGGGCATCTTAAACCATTGCATGACCGCCGGTGGAGTTTCTCAGGCTCCGGCAGCGACTTCTGGAGCGGTGGCACATCTTTGGAATCACAAAGCATTGCCGAAGGACCTTGTGAAGGTTCATTTTCGTGTTGACTTCGTGTGTCCATTTTGCCCTTCGTAATGCATTCGTGAGGGCATCTTAAGCCATCGTAGGACCGCCGGTGGAATTTATCAGGCTCCGGCAGCAACTGCGGGAGCGGTGGCAAAATCTTTGGCATGCCAAAGATGGCTTAAGATGCCCTCACGAATGGCCCGATGTTGCTACGATCAGAGCCGAATTTGAACATTTCCTTAATTGTGTGTCCATCGGGTGTCAATTTCGGGACAGGGGCTTCAGGGGCAATGCACACGACATAATGGGTGTCAAATAAAGAGGAAGGGGATTTTTGTGATAGTGGTTTTTGATTTAGAATAACAGTTTAGTAAAGAAATGTGCAATAAAATAATTACATTAAATAAAATATAAAAAAACAACATAAGACGTCTAATAAAAGATGCAATAAAAGACTAAAATTAAATAAGATATGTATTAAAACGTTCCAAGATATAAAATAAGTAGATAAAATAAATTTTGAAAACGTAAGAATTTGTAAAAATGTGCAGATTGTATATAAGGTTAAAACTAAATTCAAATATATATGCAATAAAAAATAAGTATTTATACATTATTAATTCTGATAATGATTTTTCCATTGCAACCTCAAATGACACGGCTCATAATCAGACTTTTGTAGTGTTTTTAATCAGCAGATTTGATCAAAGTAAGAAGATTGATTTGTTTGTCGGACACACTCTTTAAGAAAGCGTCATTTAACACATGACTGCTCTACTTCACTGCGTTCAAGACCTTTAAAAAAGGAGAATGAAAAACGTTTTAGGTCCTAAATCACAGTTCCTCCAAAGAAAAAGAAAGCTTACTGATTTATAAAATGATCAAAACACATATTTCTTTGTTCTACAGGGGATGAAAAGTCTTAGCTAAAACAGATACATGTTTTTCAACTTCAGGAAACAAGGGAGTTGTTATAAGAGTGGACACAAAAAAACAACTCATACCTTGAAGTTTGTGAGCTCAGAGTCCTTCTGTTTGAGAATATCAGCCATGTAATCAATCAGGTGCAGACCAAAGGCATTCTTGGTGGTGATTTTCTGCCAAAACAAGAAGAAAGAAATGCATAAGTATTTAATTGTTTCTTTCAAGTCTTACCACTATTACAGAAAGATAGATATCCAGTACATCTACGTTTGGGGATGCTCTCTGCCGATCGATCGGGGCTCTCTAAAAATGCCTATCGCGAGAGCCGATGGTCACATGACGTAAAATACATGACACTTTTCTCTGTGCGCGGCAAAACAAGCTCGCCAAAATGGCTTCACCCAGTATTTTAAGGTGTCCGAAAAAGACAGTGAAATAGCGGTTTGCAACGTGTGTGAAGCAGAAATTCTGCAACTCCGCCCGCTGTGACGGACCGGTGAGCGGAGCGAAACACACACTTATGGCGGGTTTCCAGCGGGTAGCCCCGTTTAAGCCCCTCGGACGGCCAGCGAGGCAGCCCGAGGCCTGAGCGAGGACGCTTAGGGACGCTTAAACGGGGCTACCCCGCTGCAGTGGAAATGTGCCATAAGAGTTAGACCTAACACACTTAGCTATTTGATCTGCCTCTGGAACTAGCTAAACTAGTTATACATATATTTATTCTTCACTGTCGGGTCACTCATTACTGGATCAGTGAGCTGCATGAGACGATACTGACGGGCTGTGAGGAGAGGGAGAGGGACTAATTTCTCCCGTGTTATTATCCAAAGTTAATGTAAACTTGAATAATGTACTTCATTTGAATGTAATAATTATGTTGGTTGTTGTTTGTGGAAGCGCCAGTGAATGAGCCCCATTAACCGAGTTTTAAACATCACTTTAAATGGAAG